CCTATCGAGTGACCCCTCATTTTGAAGGTCCTGGTAAAAGAAGACCAACAACACAAACTAGAGGTCTCTATCTCAATCCAGTAAAAAATGGCAGCCAATTGAAATTATCAGAAATTAAATTTAACTTGCAGCTTTCCAAGTCTGGAGACGCCCTGTAAATTTTGTAACGGCTCACACTAGGAAAACTAAACTCTACACACCTTTTTGGCATGTTATGAAGTACTTTTTAAGCCTAATAGCCACTTGGTTCCCAAACCCAAAATGGGGGATTTTGGGGGAAACTCAAAAATTTCAAATACAAAGACCCATCGAGTGACCCCTCATTTTGAAGCACCTGGTAAAAGAAAACTAACAACGCAAACTAGAGGTTTCTATCTCAATCCAGTAAAAAATAGAAGCTGATTGAAATCTTTAGAAATCAGAAATAACTTGCAATTTTATATTAAATTGGCTGCCATATTTTACTGTCTTAAGATAGGGACCTCTAGTTTACCGGCGAGCAGACCTTTCAGAGAGGCTACTTCTATGTATTCATTCAGCTTAGTGAAAACATAATATAGATATATATACAAATAAGAATTTGAACTCTTAGAGAGCCTTTGAATGTTATTAGATTAACGAAAAGGGTTGTTCATGTTTACTAGCGCTACTCAGCAACAAAGACCATAAAATTTAACTCTAAAAAAATACAGGGTTAGTAAAAAGTGTGGAGACCCCCTGCTTACCGAGGCCAGTCCAGATAATTTGTTTTCCGGTTAAACCGACGTCCTCAAAAACTCGTTAAAACGGACCATTTACTGTGATATTCCACTTAAATTTAGGAGAGCATTCAAATCAAATCAAATCAAATATGCTTTATTCATAAAGTACAGTTTTGTACATTGAATGGTGTCAACTAAATCTATCTTAAATTAATAATTTACAAATTTGCATATCTTGGATCATTATGTACATTAAAACCAAGAACCAGGAAATGAAAATAATCAAAACTGAATTAATTACTACCGATAAGAGGGGAGGTGGAAAATACTCTTCCAGGGAATAGAACGCTTTCTCTACTAAATAAAGTTTTAGTTTTCTCATGAAATTCTTCCTCCTTTGTTCATTTCTGATTTCATTAGGAAGATGCTTAACAAATTTTAATCCTATATAGGATAGTTTTTTCATAGAATTTTAATTTGTGTTTACTTGAAATAAGGAATTTTTTATGCCGAGTGTTGTATGGGTGATAATTTGTCTCAGAGGTGCTCAAGCAGTTTTTTGCTAGAATAATTGTGTCGTAAATAAATTGGCCATATACCGTTAACATTTTCAGTTCTTTGAATTTATTTTTGGTTGTTTCGTTGTGTTCTAATTTCAAAATTATTCTTATTGCTATTTTTTGAAGTTTAAGTATCCTATCCAAATTTGCTATTGTAGTTGAACCATAAAGGCACAAACCATAGGATAAATGTGAATGGACATTAGCATAATATATGTTTTTTAATGTTTTATGGTTACAAAAATAAGACATTCTAGAGAGTGAACATAGTCCTGAACATAATTTTGAAAGGAGTTTATCAACATGTTCATCCCAGTTTAAATTTTGGTCCACAATTAGACCTAGAAACTGTGTACTGTGTTTATGTTCAATTTCTTCTGCATTATACATGATATTTGGTTGAATTAACTTTTTGTAATGATTTGTTTTAAAAGTTAAAAAAATAGTTTTTTTTAGATTAAGCTTCAATTTATTTTGCTCTAGAAAGTTTCCAATGTTTGCCAATTCAACAAAACTTAAAATTTCAACTTGTTGCACTGACTCAGCCGATACTTTGGGATTTGTATCATCTGCATAAAAACAAAGATTGTTCTGAGGCAAACATGAGAGTGCACCACCAGCATCATTTATATAACATAAAAACAACAGGGGGGCAAGGATTGACCCCTGGGGTACCCCACATTTAACCCTTTCAGTTTCAGAAGAAAATGTTGTAATTCTGTTATCATGATTATGTGTGATTTCTACAAACTGACAACGATTATTTAGGTATGACTGAAACCATTTTATTGATTTTTTTGTAACCCCTAAAATGAGTAATTTATCTATCAGTTGGGTGTGGTTGACACTATCAAATGCCTTAGTTAGGTACATGAAAATTCCAATTGTGAACTCCCCTTTATCAACCGATTCAATTATAGATTCTATGAATGACACTGCTGCTGTAATTACAGATTTTCCAGGCCTAAATCCATGCTGAGTATTGTTTAATAGTTTAAATTATTCTAAATAATTTAATAACTGACTGTTGACAATTTTTTCATAAATTTTTGATATTACTGGTAGGAGAGAAATAGGACGGTAATTTGACACAGTTTCTAGGTCGTCTTTCTTATAAATTGGTATTATTTTTGATTTTTTTAATTGATTTGGAAAAATTCCTGATACAAAAGATGAATTTATTAAATGACTTAAAATATGGCTCAGACATTTTTTGGCATGCTTTATAACTTTAATAGGGACATCATCGTGTCCAACAGAATTTTTGTTTTTTAAAGAGTTAATTACTTTTTCCACCTCCCCCGCATCAATAAATTTAAAATCAAAACCTCTTTTAATACATTGCTCATTTTCAATAAGACTTTGATTTTCAATCTTGCTCTCACATTGGTTGCCTCTGACATCCTGATCAACATTAGTAAAATATTTGTTGAACATGTTAGCAATAGTTCTGGGGTCACTTAAGCTACAATTTCCCTCTTTCAAAGTAATATTTTTATTTCTTTTTCCCTTTCCTTTTCCAACTTCAGAATATATAATCTGCCATACTGTTTTTTGTATATTGGCTGATTTTTGTATTTTATTTTCAAAATAATTTGTTTTAGCTCTGACTAATTTTGCCCTATATTTCAGTTTGTTTTGTTTCAACTCGTATTTCAAGGCAGGATTTTTGTTTAAGGCCAATTGTAGTAGTTCTTTTTTTTCATTTTTCATCTCTTCTGAGATCCAATTTTGTTTATGTTTCTTTTCTGTTGGATTTAGACACCTGATCAATGGTCTCAAATCTTTCCCACAAGAACAGTCATTTCAGTACTGCCCACTTACTGCCAATCTAGTCCGGTTAAACCAATGTGCTAATAAAAATTTTCTGGTTAAAGCGATGTCATTTCCGCCAAGTGTAGTACGTCTAGGTCTAGGTCTTACCGTGCCACCTACGGTAATAGCTACTTCCCTATAGGGAAATTCGCTAAAAGGTTTTATATAGATTTTATCAGTTATGAGGTTGCTCGATCCACCTCAGAAGTAATGTTCACTAATTGTCCAACACCTAAATAGGCTATAGTCTATAACAAATCACATGGAGATTACCAAATTCAATTTTCTTCTCTGAAAACCATTTCTTCTTGCCTGTATAATAAAATGGGTTACTCTCAATTGTTCCAGATCTTCTTCCTATTTGAAACAATTAGAATATTTTGTCTAATTTTCACTTTTTACTTTGAAATTATTAAGACCACACAAATTTTTTCTAACCCATCACCTATTTCATGGCAGAAGAAGGAGAAAGTCCAGTTGCTATGGTAACATGTGTTCTACAGTCAGGTCTATTCACTTTTAATCACTCAGGTCAATTAATATTATATGAAATTTCATTTGTGTAAATTGGCTTTTTGAGATTTATTTAATTATCTATATATTTATTTTTATTTTACCTTGTGTTTGAAATAGATTGTAAACATCATATATTTTTAATAATCCTTTATAAGATTCGTTGATTAACAACAATTCATGTTAACGTCGCTATTCACATAACAGACAGTATTTGCTTTTTGGAAATGCAGCATTGATTTGTCATTTGTATTATTTGTTGCCAATGAAGCCGCACGAACATATGAACTAGGCCCCTAGCTGTTCAAGAATAAAAGCCAGCTTGACTACAAGTATATTCCACTACACCTAACAATCCGAAGAGAGATTATATTGAAAAATTTATGGAATTGATAAGGCTGAGACAACTGACATCCGCATGTCATGCAATTACAGATGTAACAGTAACCCAGTGACCAATTTATCAAAACTATACTAGAGGGTTATTCATTTGCACAGTTGTACGGTATGATGACCATAATGACGAAGGAAAAAATAAAACTTACATAGCTTTAGGGTGGGCCTCCGTTTGGTTTAAGAACGGTCGGTGCCTTCTCAATTAATAGATATTTTTTCTAAAAAAGCATAGATTTAATCTGTATAACACTGATGAAATCGTGTAAGTGTTTACCACAAAAGATCCACCAATACAATTTTAATACTATTTAAAGGTTCCTCCAAAAGCATCCTTCATATATTCCACCAAAAGAAGAGAAACCAGTTAACATAGTAACAATAACTCCTATGATGTACTGTATAAGAAATATGTTATTCATTGAATGATCAACCATATTTTCTAAACTAACCCAATAGACATTATTGTTTTTACACTGATTTATTACTCATTAAACAATGTTAAATGCTCAAATTTTTTTATAATTTCACTCCATTAACGCAGTTAGATGAATTAGCGTAAGCCTTTAAAGCAACCGTCGATTTTGACGGGTTTCACCTAGAATTATATATAGGTATACTGTATAAGAATTTGAACGGATGGTGTTTTTGGCCTCTAAGGACCTGAAAACGAAAAAAGTAAATCCGTCCCAGGTCCAGGTCTTACCATGAGTACTACGGTAATAGCTTATTCCCTATATAGGTAATTCGCTAAAAGTAAATCGGTCCTGGGTCTAGGTCTTACCATGAGACCTACGGTAATAGCTAATTCCCTATTTGGGAAATTCACTAAAAGGAAAAAAACTACAAATTAGGACAAATGTTTCATATTTATAAAATAAATTTCTGTTCTATTATTTGTGCAAAAATCTTAACTTGCTTTTATGTTATTTGACTGTAAGAAACATAACCATATTGGCTAATCATTACCGTAACCAAATTTGTGGATCCTGAACTAACAAGTGGAATTATTTTTCAGTGTATATTGGGTCCGCTTACTTGTTGCTATTGCTGCGCTCCGTGAGTACATTTTAAACAATTTTACAGACTATTTACTAAGTACTAAGTTTTAAAAATATACACATAAGTAAATTATCCTATAGAGATAATAAATACCCCCCGCAGCAAACCTGCAGACTAAGCTAATTTTAACTTGTCTGATTACATACTAAAATCTTACTAATATTATAAATGTGAAAGTTTGTGTGTTTGTTTGTTTGTTTGTTTGTTTGTTTGAAGTTCAATCACGCATTAACGACTGGACGGATTGGGCTGAAATTTTGCATGATGATAGCTCACATGCCCAATTAACATATAGGCATATTTTTCTCTGAAAAATCCTTTCGGGCTCCGCCCCAGTGGCTCTGCAGTTTCCCAGGTTAACCTTATGAGTATTCATATTTAAAGGGAATTAAAGAATTTTGTCAGCTGTTTCAACTAAAAAAGTTGGTTCTATGATATGAAAAGCATTAAAAAGTTATAAGATTTACCAACAGGGTGCAGCACTATTATTTGTTTTGCATTTACCATAACTACAGCAAGCAGCAACAAAAACTGTGATATGCAATGAGAACTGTCAAAGTAGGATTGTTTACAGTTATGTTTATGTTTTTAATTTCATGAATAATTTGTGATATTTTGCAAACTTTTAATAATTTATTCTTCTCTATTGTTTAGGTTGAAGTGGTAGAACATTATGACTATGGTAGATATGTAATACTATGGTATAACGTAAATTTAAATAAGCAAATTTTATCAAACGGTGTCCTCCCCCATTGAAAATGCAAATGCAAAGCTCGAGTATAACTGCAATAAGCGTTTTATACTTATATGCCGACCCCGTACGAAGTTCGGGTACTCTGCTAGTATTTCCATAAATAAGACATTTTTTTCCAATTTAAATAACACTAGATTTAACGAGTGCTTAGGTTTGCTGCTACGGGTAAGGAAACAAGTTTTTTTTACCGTGTGTCAATAGTATAAGATGAAATAAATAAATTTGCTTAATTTTATCAACATATATCCATAAACAAGTAAACTACAACAGTTTTCATTTTCTCCATAAGAATAGCATGGGAATTTTTAATTACACTTTTTTTCTCCGTAACCGTTAGGCATACAATAGCGCTTCATTGTACTAAATTATTTCTTTCTTAAGCTGTACTGGTACAAAATGGCTTAGAAAGAAATTGCAAAATTTGTTGTTTTTAGGGTCAAAAATAGAAAACCCATAAACCCCCATTCCAATAGTCTGATCATGCTGGTTCGCAAGGTAGTTCGAATAAATGTAGGTTTACATGTTTGTACCGAATTTCATCAAAATCAGATCATTTTAATTCGAGTTATCGTGCTAACGGACATACAGTATATATATATGAATATGAATGGATGGATTTTTTGGCCTCTGGGGACCTCAAAACGAACAAATAAATCGGTCCCGGGTCCAGGTCTTAGCATGAGACCTACAGTAATAGCTTATTCCAGCTATATGAGAAACCTGCTAAAAAAAATTCAATTTTCCAGAAGCAATACATACCATGATCACACACACCACGAACTTTAAATTTTTACTCCCCCCTGTACATTATGGAGAAAGTATTGTTTTCATCAAACTTTTCGAGTTTGAGTTTTAGGTGGAAATATCTATTTTGAGTCACTCTGACTGAACCCAAAAAGTGGTTTTTGAAGTGATGTATGTGCCAAAGATTGCAAACAAAAAATCACCTGATTGTATTGCCATATAAGTTTATGTTTGTTTTGATTTGATTGTTATTGTTTACATAATTTTTTCTAAGCTAGTGAACCTGTGCGGCTCAATGCCCTGCAAAAAACATATTAATTTAGAAAACGAATTCATCGTGTTATATATTGACTCGACATCGAAAATTAAATTCAGTAATAATAAAGCCTTAGAAGGGAAGCAGTCCAGCCATTTTCTAGCTGTATGCGTATTATATATTTACTAGTGGTCGTCCTGTGGTCGAAACTCGACCAAAAATAATTAATGTACAGACTTCTCTATTTTCTCCCCACACTGTAAATAAAACATGTGATTGGGATTTCTTCCATTTGTTTTGATTTTCTGTTTACATTTTGTTGTTATTTCGTCACCATCATGGCAACCCAGTTGGTCCATGTTAATTTTTTGAAGTTTTCAAATTCGTTTTTTGTGCTTATTTTTTAGCCTATTTTAATTTATAAAGGGATTCTGCACATCTACAGGCAAATATCTTTCTAGCAGTATGCGTAGATTTCTCCTGCGATGCACACGAGCTGAGAAAAAAGGTTTTAAAGAAACATGCTTGCCTATTAATATATAGATAGATTAAATTAATAAGTGTTCAAGGTTAAGTATGTTATAGTGTAGCTATTTTTTTTAGATTTTTAAAAACAAATTTAACAAACTATTTTATCATATCAAACCAATTGGCCTATGCAGCATATTATGAGGGTCATAAAATGCTGCTTGAAGAAAACACTTTTAAAAATAAACACTAAAAAACAATATTTTTATCACAAAAGCACTTCCATGAATACTATGACTTTAGTCTTAAAGTTATCTTCAGGAATATTACCCCCAGCTTTTTGGTTCCCTGATAGTCTTGGTACTGCTGCAATCTGGGCGCGTAATGCAGCTACAGTACAAGTACGGGGTCACGCGAAGGGCCGAGGTTTCGTTTGGGTTCGGTGCCGGGATGTCACTTACTTTAGTGTCTACCTCACTCCCAATGAGGCCATCCGTGACTTTCGTGAGAAGATAGACCGCCTGGAAGAGAGCGTGCGCAATATCACAGGACACGTCGTCGTGGGTGGGGATTTTAATGCTAGGGCTGTCGAGTGGGGAATGACCCTCACATATTCCCGGGGCAAGTACATTCTGGACTTTGCTGCCAGAGCCGGACTCGTTGTCGTCAACGAGGGCAACACGCCAACTTTCCGGCGCCCTGGGATGCGGGGAACGATCCCAGACATTACCCTTGCATCTGAGTCTCTTTTGCCAAGGATCAGAGCCTGGAGAGTCCTGGAGGATTACACGGCCAGTGACCACCAGTACATAATTTTTGACGTCCTGGATGGTCATCAGAGACAAGTGGCAGCGTTTCGTCAAGTGCCCGTTCGATGGAACATTAAAAAACTGGACGTGGCAAAATTCAATGGAGCCATCCTACGAAGAACGCCGGTGGTTCATCCTGCAACTGGCGTGCCTCACGCATAGGCGTTAGTTGCATCCACGATGAAACTGATTGTCTCGGCCTGCGATGAGTCTATGCCTCGCAGGAGATACCGGTGCAATAAGCGTCCTGTGTACTGGTGGACTGCCGAGATTGCGGAATTGCGTCGAGCGGCATTGAGGGCCAGAAGACTTGCTACCAGGGCTAGAGAACCCCTAGACAGACGGCGTAAGTCGGATGCTTATAGGGTGGCTAGGAGGTATCTTCGTCGAGCCATCAATCGGAGTAAACACAGTTGCTGGGATAAATTAAGGGACGATGTTGATTCCAACCCGTGGGGCCTGGGTTACAAACTTGTAACCAAGAAACTTGGAACCCGCTCTCCACCTTCCGTCATGGACAGGGTCACTATGGAGAGGATAGTCGAGTCCCTTTTCCCGGCTCACGCGTTGCGCCCACTGCGGGATTATGGAAGGGTGGACAACGTCCCACTTTTCAGCCCTGAAGAGCTGGTGGCGGCCGTCATATCCCTGAAGAACAACAAGGCTCGTGGTCCCAATGGGGTGCCCGGTGAAGTCCTCAAGAAGGTTTTGACTACCAACCCCTTGATCCTTTTGAGCATGTATAACGACTGCCTGGTTGAAGGGGGTTTCCCCTTGTGCTGGAAGACAGCTAGGCTTGTGCTTGTTGGGAAGGGCAAGGGAGACCCAGATCTGCCATCCTCTTACAGACCTCTGTGTATGTTGGATACGGCTGGCAAAGTCCTCGAGAAATTGATCCGTTCCCGGCTAAATTCAGCCGTTGTCGCTGCGGGGGACCTCTCCCCTCGTCAGTATGGATTCAGGATGGGGCGATCAACGATTGATGCGATTGAGGAGGTGAAGCAAGCCGTGATGAGAGCTGAGGATTTTACCCACTACTCTCGCAGGGTTGTGCTGCTCGTAACGCTCGATGTGCGAAATGCATTTAATTCGGCGAGGTGGTGCGATATGCTGGATGCTCTGGAGAACACCTTCCACGTGCCGGCATACCTCATGCGCATCATAGAGGATTATCTCCGGTTTCGCCTCCTAACGTATGACACTGCGGAGGGCCCGCGGACGATGAGTGTCACTTCTGGTGCTGCCCAAGGTTCCATACTCGGCCCAGACCTCTGGAACGTCGCTTATGACAGCCTTCTGAGGTCTGAAATGCCTGAGGAAACAGTCTTGGTTGGGTACGCAGACGACACTGCAGCTTTGATAGCTGCACGTAGCGTTGAGCTGGCTCAGCTAAAGCTAAACCAAGTTATGCGTACCATAAACGCATGGATGGCAGACCACGGTCTCTCGCTTGCTCTGAGCAAAACCGAGATCGTGATTTTGACAAAAAAACGGATTGACACCATCGTGCCGTTGAGGGTGGGAGCCGTCGAGGTTCAAACTGTTCGTTCTGCCAAGTATCTTGGGGTCATGGTAGACAGCAAGCTTAGCTGGCGGGATCAGATCTTCCGTACAGCGGACAAGGCCGCTAGGGTGGTTTCTTCTCTTAGCCGGTTGATGGCCAATGTCGGAGGGCCTCGGTCCAGTCGTAGAAGGCTGTTAATGTCTTCGGTCCAGTCCGTACTCTTGTACGGTGCAGAGGTGTGGGCAGACGCACTAAATAAGGAGGCATACAGGATGCGGCTCGCCCGAGTGCAGCGTCAGGCAGCACTGAGGGTAGCATCTGCCTACCGAACGGTGTCCGAGCCCGCCGTCCTGGTGATTGCTGGAGTCATCCCCGTCAAACTTTTGGCGGCGGAGAGAAAGGCAATTTACCGGCGCCGTGGGGAGGACGAGGCACGAACAGAGGAACGCACCCGCACCTACC